TTTAGATAATCTTTCTTCTTGATCTAATTAGAAAATAGTCACACATTTCAGCCAATTTTAATCAAATTAAGACAATAGGTATTTTAATTTAAAACTGGCTTCCTTTGTTAGTATCCTTTATCTGTGACATTGAGCTAATTCTATGCTTCTGTAATTCCACTGAAAGAATGTTAGTCCTGATTTACATCAGCATAAATAAGTTTAGATAATCTTTCTTCTTGATCTAATTAGAAAATAGTCACACATTTCAGCCAATTTTAATCAAATTAAGACAATAGGTATTTTAATTTAAAACTGGCTTCCTTTGTTAGTATCCTTTATCTGTGACATTGAGCTAATTCTATGCTTCTGTAATTCCACTGAAAGAATGTTAGTCCTGATTTACATCAGCATAAATAAGGTTAAAAGCAGGTCAACAAAGTATAAACTCTGGAATGGAACACACTGAAGAAATTCTGAAGATTATGGTTGTATTATTATACCTGGTTTGAGTCTTCCATTCTTAGCTGCAGAGCCTTTCTGAACAAGACTTGTTATTTGGAGATACGGCCCGTTCTGAATTACTATAAGACCTAATCCTTGTTCTCCCATCTTAATATTGGTCTTTAACGTAGCACTCAAAGTATGTTCAGAGATCTTTTCCAGTGCTGGAAACTGCCCTTTGGAAAATGAGAGGGACACTTTAATACTTGAAAATATGACACCGTGATTTTCTTACTTCACGATCACAAGCACTAAATCAGCAAAACAAGCAGGTACTCAAATCCATTACTAATCAGCAAAGCAATTTAAGTCCCACATGCTTAAAGTTCAACATTTGGTCAAGTATTTTTCTGAATAAAGATGGGCTGCCTGAAAACACAATTATGTACAAGTTGTGTATTCCATAAATGATCTAAAAATAAATATTTCTAAAACAGCTTCTCAACATACTCAAAAGCCTGTTTCTAAAATTTCACATACTGTGTTGAGCAAAGCAAACAAATATTGCTAACCCTGTATATTCTTTAGATTCATTTTAAATGGTTGCATACATTCAGGGAAGGAAGAGAACAAGGTAAAGAAATAACAGCATAACTAGGCCACCAACTCTTAGAGCTTTCAAGAAAGTTGGAAATTCATATTGAAACAAATCCTGTGTCAATATTTCTGGATAAGATTCACATCCAAATTTCTAGCAGATGGATTTTACACTCTAGTGCTTGAAGGAAGGAAGAAACTGGTGCTTGACAAATGTGTTTCTTTACTCTACATTCTCTATCCATTAAAATGTGTAATATAAACAGTATACACAATAAAGGACAACTCATTCCAACTCAACCCCACCAGCAAATATAATGACGATCATAAAATGAATTCTGCAACCCTCAGCTTGCCTCTGGACGAAAAGCTTGGGAAATGATGAGATTGGAGAAAAAGCATTTTTTAAAAAAGATTTCATGCTCTGTTTTAAGAAGATGTAAACTTTGGACTGCTATGGCAGGGTAGCAGAAATACTACTGTTCTTTTAAACTTACACAGCACTTTCTCTCCACTGATTTCAAAGCACTTTACAAAAGTACCATTTTACAGATCATGGCAGGCAAAGCACAGAGAGATCATTAAAGGCATAATTTAAAATCCAATGAAGTCCATAGGAGTCTATTCATTGACTTGAAAGCATTTGTGATTAGGTCTGAACAGTATGTCTACTCCTCAGCTGGGAGAGTATTTCCCAGCCTGGATAGACAGACTTGCACTATCTCTGCTCACTATCTCAGAGCAGAGATAGTGCGAGTCTGTCTAAAATTAATGTGGATGTTGAGGCACAAGCTAGCTGTCCAAGTAGGAGTCTACCAGTACTACTTCCGAGCTCAAGTGGCTAACCTGTGCTGACACCCATGCCACAATGTTCATGCTGCGATTTTAATGTCTCAAACAGAACTAGCTTAAATGTGACACTTTATGTATGGGTTTAAACAAAGACTCTAATTATCTCACCCATTACAAAGAGAGCTTCGCCAATTATCACTCCTAATGTCATTACCTCACAGAAACTAACCTCCCCCCCTCACTCCTACTCTGTTCTAAAATTTGATTTGTCAATTTCACATGCATTCATTTTTTTAAAATTGTATCACTTTGGTATATATGGCTGTGCCGATTTTCTTGCACATATTGATTTGAGGAAGTGGGTCTGGCCTACGAAAGCTCATCACCTAATAAACCATCTTGTTAGTCTTTAAAGTGCTACATAGTTCTAGCTTTTGTTAGAACTAGCTTATGTCTGTCTACTCATGCTTGACAAGAAAAAGAGAAGCATAAAATATGGGAGTGCCTGAGCCAAAGCCCATTGAAATGAATAAAAGGACTTCCCCATTGACTCAGTGGGCTTTGGATCAGGCTTTTTATTCTCAACTCACCTGATATTGGTCCATTTCCATAATCTCCAGGGAAAGTGTCTGGA